GACATGGTTGGAAGATGCGGGTGACATGGATTTGTGGAGGTGAAGGAAAGGCAGCAGGTTTCACTCCTGAAATGCTGACTTGAATACATGGACTTGTGGTAGTGTCCGTTACTGAGCCGGGTGGTCAGAAGCAGGTGACCTTCTGAAGGAGCATGCTGTTAACACYTGCTCAGAAGGATTCGGGTTCAGAGGCCTGTTAGCATTCCCAGGGAAGATGTCAATTAAGAATCTAGAGATGCACTTTGCTTTTCAGGGAAAAGGCAGTGCCATCGATGGGAAATTGGAGGTTTATTATAGAGGTGAGCCTTGAAATGGCAATATTGTGGAAACCATCGAAGAGACACAGAAGAAAGAGAGACGTGAAGCAGGCTCCACGTTTCTAAAATTTAGAGCTTACAACATTTGGGTCATTTTGAGATAAATATTTAATGCAAGGACATTGGCTGTGGCATAAAGTCAAATCTCTGCAGTTCACTTCTGGTGTCAAAAAGTACARGAAAGAATGGATATGTTCAGCTGGCCGCAGGCGGGGGTGGGGAAYTTATGAGCAGGAAGAGCACCTCCCTGGAAGCTGACCATGCTGGACTTGATCTCAAACCTCTCCTCCAGAATKGTGAGAAAATCAGTTTCTCTTCTTTAGGTGCTCAGTCTGTGGTGCTTGGTCACAGCAACTCAAGTTGACTGTCAGAATTGGGTCCCAAGAGGTGGGGTGCTGGTTCAACCAATCCCTAAAAATGTACACATGGCTTTGGAACTGGGGATAGGTAAAGGCTGAAAGAGTTTGGAGGTTCATGCTAGAAAACACTATTTGCTATGAAGGGACTCTCAGTAGAAATACAGATGGTAACAGCGATCCTGATAGAGACTCAGAAAGAAAAGGAGAGGTGGAAAGGACACTTCATTTTCTTAGCGAATACATAAATAATCATGAACAAAATATTGGCTCAAATATGGATGTTAAAGTCCATTCTGGTGAGGTCTCAGATGGAAGTGAGGGATGTGTTGTTGGAGACAGGAGGAAAGGGTGGTCCTTGTTATAAAGTGGCACAAAAGTTGCCTGGACTATGTTCAAGTGTGGGGGGAAGGTAGAACCTATGAGCCACAAAAGAGGATACTTAGCAGAGAAGATTTGTAAGCAAAGTTCAGAAGGTGAAATTTGGATCCACCTTACTTCTTACAGTAAGCTGCTAGAGGAAAGAGAAATTGAAGCAGGAATTGTTAAGGAACTCAAACTAGGAAGTTTGGAAAATTGTCAGTTTATTTGTATTGTAAAAGTTGAGAAAGGTTTTCTTAGGGAGGTGTGTTGGGTAGCGTTTGATAAAAATATCACGGGTGCCTCTCATGAGCTAAATCAGGAGAAGACAAAAGACCAAGGGACGACAACCAGAGGGATGCTGCCTGTTTACACTAAACACAGGAAATGGGAGGGAATGGAGGAAGGTGTCCCACTTCTTGAATTCTCCAGGACAAGACCACAGAGTCATAAGCATGTTCCAACTTGACAAGAAAGGAAGGAAATGCTCCAAGGGATCCAGACATCACGGGAACTGCCTCTGCCACCAAGGCACCAATGCACTGGGTGAGYACSGGGCGTAGCAAGGCTGACTCCTCCTCCTCCAGGGTTTAGTCACTCTCTGAGGAAAGGCTGTGGGAGCACAGGAGAAGTCGCCCTCTCTAAGCCAAGGAAAAAGGCTCAGCAAACACCAACCTGAGGGCATTTGACCTTAGGCTTCTTTACTCTAGAATTATAAGAAAATAGATYTCTGTTGTTTACATTATCCAATCTGCATCGTTGTGTTGTGGCAGTCTTGGTAGACTCAGACAGTCAAGGGTATGTTGGAAGTTTAAGCTGAGCAGGCAGCCAGACGCCATATTCCCAAGTCAAGAGCTTAGCACATTTGCTTCTTTCAGATGGAGCCTTGGGTGTAAGCAATGTGCATAAATTCTACATCCTAAAAATGGGGCTTCCCTCATGCTGCCCAAACGACAACGAAAGTTGCTAAGTCAATGAAGTTCTGATATGGTTTCAGTATGATACACTAATTCACTTTATGTCGAAGCTTACAGGCCACATTCCTATTTCTCTGGAAGTTGAAATGGTTGTACTTGTTCTTAAAACAAACAAACAAACAAACAAAAACAACAACAACGATACATATTTCTGTTTATTAACAAAATTTTCTTATGTTAATCTTTGCCTTATGTCTGGAAAGGAATTTTAAAAATAGAGAGGAGAGAGTCCTATGACTACTGTTTTTCTTATTTCAGTGTGCCTAAAAATTATTTCACTAAAATTCCTAATAATCTTTTAATACACATGCAGTATATTTACCAGTAGTATATGAATTTATGATTATAATTTAGAATCAACAATTGAGAAACCTTTACAAAGTAACCTAAATCTAACTGTAAAATACATAAAAGTTATTTACAGCTGGCTCTAAAATTCATTATACTTGCAAAAAAGAGACCGAATGATACAGGATAACAGCAGCAACCACAACAACAGAAAAAGAAAAAAAAAAAAAGGAGTAGAGGTGACAGGTGACAGAAGAAAATAATATTGCTTTCAGATTACTTGACAATGTAAAAAGGAAATATAACAATTGGAGATATTATGTTGAACTATATATATATATATATATGAGAGAGAGGGGTCTGTGTACAACATATAATATATATATTATATGTTGTACCCAGACCTTTATTTGATTTATTTTTATATGGTGCTGAGGATTAGATACAGTGCCTCACACATGCTAGGCAAATGTTCTACCAATTAAGCTACAACCCTAGTCCCAGACTTGCTTCTTGGTAACACCTTGGGATGAACTTTTGTCATTGCAGTCTGGTGCCTTCAGAAACTAGGTTGGCCTGGGTGTAGCAATCTCATTAACTTGCTTCAATTTAAATAGTCTTTCCCAGAACACTTGAGGCATGGAAGGTAGATACCTGCTCAAGCACTGGAAACCAACTGTAGCTATGGGGAATTTATTGTCCAATAGAGAATTTCCCAAGAGTAACTAGGGCTTTTRGACATGAATAATGATAGTGCCAAGCTGATGGTAAGGAGGTGTGCTGGAGATGGAGAGCCAGGACAGAGCTGAGACGCTGTGTCTCTTAGGTAAGAGGTGGTCAACTGGTCCCTTCTGTTTCTCTTATGCTCCTAAAACAAGATCCCACTGCAAACTGGATTATTAGAAGAGAGGGACGTTCTACTGGAAAGAGAGCATGCTAGTGACAGTGTCCATCTGGTGTGTAGTTAATGACTCCCCTAGTAATTAACTGACCCTCCACAACAAAGTGCTTCCTGACTGTGCAGCCACTGATTCATGCAGCTCAACCTTCCCTCAGCGCCTGTTTACCAAGTGTCTATGTGTGCCAGATTCTGTGCTGACTAGATACAAGTTAACATCACGGGTCCTTGACCTTACTGGAAGACTTGCTGAAGAGAACGGACCATGGAGGTTAATAGAGTTCACAATGTATCACTCAGTATTCAAATACAACCTTTTGTTATTAGAGCCACAGGAAAGAGTTCAAATTTCTATTCCAAATTTCTATCTTCTTGCCTTACTCAACACATATTGGTGTATCTCTTGGAAACCATCTCTCTGCCAAACCAGTCACACGCTAAATCAAAAAAGCACTGGCTTTTTTTTTTTTTTTCTCCTCCCTCTCTTCATGTAGATTCTGGGGAAGTTATCTCTCCTCCACTCTTAAGCTCTTCACAGAGTTTAATATGCCATCTTGAACTTTCTGGTATGCAAATAAAGTTCATCTATTTTGTGTTGATTTTTCTATTTCCATTTCTGACAATAATCATTAGTAGTCCTGACCTTGGGACTTAATTTAAGCTCTGCTCCTCAGTTTCTTTATTATTAAATCTATGATAGGGTGAGAGACTTTTCCTAAGGTTGTTGGATTAAGTGAATTAATATGCTGGGAGCACACAGACAAGTGCCAGGCACACAGGAAATACCTAAGAAGCCATCTCTCCTAATCAGCCCAAGCTGATTTCWCTGCTGAGCAGCTCCTTCCAAAGGACAGTGAACAAAGACAGGAAAAGGTGGAGGCCAAAGGAGTTAAAGACCTACACCCAACCAAGGTCATACACCTAGGAAGTGGGGGAGGTGCGTTTAAATCCAAATGGAAAATAAATCAATAGTTAAGGCTCAAAGGAAGTAAGGATCCATGTTCTCCAACATGCAGTAAATGTCAGSCATCTGAGCACTGAGGCCAGATTCACTTCAAGTCTGGTGGTTCTCAGCCTCCATAACTTTCAAAATGCTGCAAAATTTAACACGTGGCCATTAAGATATCCATTTGATTTCCTACCACCTGGCCTTCACTGAGATTTGAGATGCTAGACTTTTTTCCCCCCTTTGAGAGCAGCTTTGGGAAGGAGGGAGATAGAGACGATGTCACCAGACCCCACTACTCAAGTTAGTATCTGAAAAGCAGAAGGCACATCTGCAGGAACCAGTTTCTGCTTGGATTAACAATAATAAACTCCACTACACAYTAGACTTTAATAGAGGAACGAAACCATTCAAAACCAATGCTTCAGCGGAGCTCCGGGAGTCCTGAATATGTTACTCCTCTGCTTGGCTAACCCAGGATSCCAGGCCTGGGCAAGCCTTGGCCGTGCTGGGTTTCCCTGCCCTCGCACTCCCATTCAAAGCAAACTACTCTCCGGCCCCAAACTTTAAACCTAGAAACTAGGAAAACAGGATCTTGGCAGTGTAATGACAGTAGCCCCATTTCGCCTGCTAGGGATTCGAGCTTAATTTACCAGTCACASGATCGTATAAATGGTGTCCCGAGAATATGACCAAGTACATACAAACGTTGTCACTACCCSACTAACAGTTCCCTACCATAGGCAAGTTTTTACCTTGTCCTCCAGAATAAAGCTTACGGGTACACTAACATGGAGCAATAAGCAAAACAAAAGCTAGTTAGTATGAGTATCAGCTCTTTCTTTGAGAAAGTGGGGGGCTCTGAAAAGAGCCTTTGGGTTTGATTGTGTTTCCGGAAGCTCAGATGTCAGATCACTTTCCCTTGGCCTTGTGGTGGCTCTCGGTCTTCTTGGGCAGCAGCACGGCCTGGATGTTGGGCAGGACGCCACCCTGCGCGATGGTCACTCGGCCCAGCAGCTTGTTGAGCTCCTCGTCGTTGCGGATGGCCAGCTGCAGGTGACGCGGGATAATACGCGTCTTCTTGTTGTCGCGGGCCGCATTGCCCGCCAGCTCCAAAATCTCGGCCGTCAGGTACTCGAGCACCGCCGCCAGGTAGACGGGCGCGCCGGCCCCGACRCGTTCAGCATAGTTGCCCTTGCGCAGCAGACGGTGGACTCTGCCAACAGGGAACTGCAGCCCAGCACGAGAAGAYCGAGATTTCGCTTTGGCACGCGCCTTGCCGCCCTGCTTGCCACGACCAGACATCGTAGATCTGCACACTCAAGACACCAAMACGAGAAAACAGGTTCTAGCAAAACAAATAAGGTCAGGAAGTATGTAGAACAGGCCTGCTTTTATAGACATTTCCTGGCTAGTAAATCCGACTCTCTGATTGGCCATAATAAGCATSAGTTAAGAAACCAATAGAAAAGCTGTATTTCCATACCTCATTTGCATAGTTCTGCCCCTGGATGACAGCACTGCCGTTTATCTTCCAATTAGGTAAGACTTGCTCTGCATCCTTCATTAGCATAAATGCCCTATAAATAGCAGAAATCTGCTTCAGACTTTCATTGTATTTCTGCTGTTTTAAGGCTTTAAAATGCCTGAGCCAGCGAAGTCCGCTCCTGCCCCGAAGAAGGGCTCCAAGAAGGCGGTGACCAAGGCGCAGAAGAAGGACGGCAAGAAGCGCAAGCGCAGCCGCAAGGAGAGCTACTCGGTSTACGTGTACAAGGTGCTCAAGCAGGTGCACCCCGACACCGGCATCTCGTCCAAGGCCATGGGCATCATGAACTCGTTCGTSAACGACATCTTCGAGCGCATCGCCGGCGARGCSTCSCGCCTGGCGCACTACAACAAGCGCTCGACCATCACGTCSCGGGAGATCCAGACRGCSGTGCGCCTGCTGCTGCCCGGGGAGCTGGCCAAGCACGCCGTGTCCGAGGGCACCAAGGCGGTCACCAAGTACACCAGCTCCAAGTGAACTTCCAAGTAAGCGTTTTTACACCTAATCCCAAAGGCTCTTTTAAGAGCCACCCACATGCCCACAAAGAGAGCTGTGGACAACACTGAATTTAGTTGGGGATTAAACAGAATCAAATCCAAATGGTCAAACTGGCTTCACATTGTCTTGGATTAAGGCAGTAAGCACTGGGTTTTGCGACATTTTCAGTGTGCCGAAATCTGATTGGTAGACACAAGCCAATCTTTCCTCTGARTACTAGTGCTCCACTTCTGCCGAAATTGGTCTGGTGGTTTTTCGCGCAAAACTAGTGGCCACAGGCACCCTGGATTGTGATTGCAGTTGAGGAGAGGGCAGCTTCAAGTGCGGTGAAAACCAACCCACGCTGGCGACAGTGAAGAGCTGGAGCGAGGGTGAGGGAATTGAGAAGCTAGTAGACTGGGGCACACGCGGTCTCCACTGGAACGACTTCCCCTTTCCAAAACTCGGTTGGCTGAAATTACATCTTCCCTTAAGCAAGCCAGTTACTACCAAGAAAGCAGACTCTTTTTTTACATTTTAGGCAATGTGATTGTACTTACAAGATTACTTAAGCACCCTATGATGTCTGCAGGTTTGACACCTGGAAAGAGTATAATGAACTAAAACAGATAAGTTAAAAACTCCTAATTTTTTTAAAGAAATCAAGTTGTTTTAAAGGTGTTACCTCTTAGACTGTAACAATTTTGACAGTTTAATTAGAGGTCTTGCTTAAATAGGATATAAGGAAATGTAAAGCTTTTTAAACGAGAATTTTAATACTTCGTATATACATTTATAAGGAAAAATCACCTTTCTAATCAAGATTACCTTATGGATGAACTCACTAACTTAATTATTTACTTTAAAGTGGTTCTTTTTAATAGCATGATGTAAACATAATACTCTACTAATAGGTTACAGAAGCTTAGAGATTATTATTTTTTCCATTTGGGATTATTAATTAATTTGAATTTACTAAAATTTTTTCCCCACTAGGTTTATTGGTTAAATGAGTAAACGTTTCATTTAAAATTTTAAAATTGTAACATGCATTGAATTAAATTAAATCATAATGTAATTTTTAAGGAGGGTTGATTTTTATAATGTYACAAATTAAAAGGACTCTGTCAGTTTAAAAGCTGAATTGTTACACTCTATAACTTTAATAATATAGATGAATATTGAGTAAATACAAGAGAATGACCATTTAGCATGTTTATTTTTTTTAAAAGTTGGTACTGTTTTGTAATGTAATAAATTCAATTGAATATGTATCATCACTTTAAAATAAGACTGTGAGCTTTTTTTGTTTTTATATACCYATGATTTATGTTTGCATCCTAACATAATAACCAGTTTTCTCTGATAACTTTATTTTTTTTAACCTATCCCAAATTCAAAGTAGTAAAACAGTTAAGATGCCTTTTACCCCAAAACAACAAAAAACGAAACAAAACAAAACCCAAACTATCTCTAGATCTTCCTTGACAGTCATTGAGCAATGAGCACTTATTTTCTTCACACTGTAAGGAAAAGTAAACTGCTAAAATAATTAGTCGAAGTTTAAAATTTGATTTTAAAAATTTCATTRAAAGTCCTTGGATGCTGGGAGTGTAGCTCAGGGGTGTAGTGTTTGCTTAGTACAGGGCTCAGGGATCCATCCCCAACAAAGGGGAAAAAAAAGTCCTTGATCTRTACAGGAATAGACTATTCACACTGGGCTCTTTTGAAAATAATGAGCTACCACAATATCCTATTTTTAGACCCAGTCTTCAGGGTTTTTTTCTCTCCTCTTTTATAAAAATCTTATTTTACTTTGCCGGTTGAAGTCATCCTATGGTTTGATATAACTTGCACATAAGTAAAGGTGTGCTAATAATTAACTAGATGAGTTAATGGTTTGACAAACTCAACCCTCTTGAGACTGTGGGATGCTAATAATTGCCTACTTATAAAGACAGGTGAGAATTAAATGAAATGGAAAAATAACACTTGTTCCAGAAATGGAATTCTAATAAAATGGCTGCAGAACACTATTCCATGATTTAAAAAAAAAAAAAAAAAAAGAAAGAAAGAAAAAAAGAAAAGAAAAACAAGAAAAAAAAAAAAAAGCCTCTGGGGACAGAGTCTCTTAAGTTTGACTCTTTGTAAGCACCAAGACTTTGAATGAAGTCTTTTGATCTCTCTGTGCCTCATGTTTTCATCTGTACCCTAAAGAGAAAGGTAATAGACGTACCTTCTAGAAGATTATAAAGATTAAAGATCTCTAGGCATGTTCTTAAGGACATAAAAACAACATTGGTTTTGAATCTTCCTGATTTGGAAGGGGATATAGATTCACCACTTTATCAAACAATCCTAGTGATTCTAAATTGAAAAGTCATTAAAATTAATTTTTCTCAGCCTTTACCCTGCATAATACTGGATGACCAGTTATAAAATTAACTTGGCAGAGTACACAGCTGCCTGTGTGTGACCTTTTGTGCAAGATATTCTGAGCTTTGGCTAAATTCTTTGAATTTAACATTCAGCTTGCCCTGTCCTCAATTCCTCTGGGGTGATTATAAATTAGAAAAATGACAGTGAATCTGGAGAAAGCTACTTTCTTGCTACTTCTAACCTCAGTTCTGAGGAAGAAAGAAAGTCGAACTGTGGTTGAATCATTTAAATATTCAGGTCACCCTGTCATCCAATGAGCTATTTGCAGAACAATCCATAGAAAATCTGTCTTTATTTCACTGTGGTTGTTAGTTCCTTGTGTTAGATCTCACTTCTGGCTTGGAAGGGRCAAAGTGGCAGAGATGGTGGACTTGTCTCCTTTTGAGGAAATAGATCTACCTGTTGGAGGTAACCCTGAGGCAAAATCTTGACCTTATCATTTGCAAACCTAGGCTAATCCTCTGGCCATTCAAGTTCTCCAAAAGTAAAAGAATTGGTTTCAAGAGCAATAAGAATAAACCTTTATAATGCCTTTCTCCTTTGATCTCTTTTCTTTCTATATTCTTGCCCTCAATTTTCCTTTCAAGTTTTTTATCTGTTAGGCCCAAACTTAGCTATAGAACAAAATACACTGGAAATTTTAATTTTTAATACATTTCCATTTCTACGGTTAAACATTCTTAAACAATGTGGGTAATGGGCCTTGTGTTCTGGATTTTAAAAGACACATTTGGAATTTAGTTCTGAATGAAATACATTTTTAGAAATTAAAAAAATATATAAAATTTGCCTGGAGATATAGCTCAGTTTGTAGAGTGCTTGCCTCATGCACAAGGCCCTGGGTTCAATCCCCAGCACCAACACACACACAATATAAAAATAATTCTACAGAGATGATGCAGGATCTGAAATCTTACATGGAGAAAACTCGCTAGCCTCAAGTGGAGGTCACGGAGGCCTGTGCCCAGCAGACAGCAGGGCCAGGAGTTTTTAGAGTGCTTGAAGAGAGTGCTCAGGACTTTAGACTCTTAGGAGGCCGAGACAGAACTAGGCCCAATCAATTCCTAGGAGGGCAGAGGGAATGTCAATCAACTGGAAGTGAGGAAAAGGAACGAACCACCTCCAACCCCCTATCATTTGAGCTTAGGCCTCGAGGGTGGTCTGCTCCTGGCTTAAAAGAGTTTTTCTTGCCTTCAGGATCCTCTAGGAACACCTGAGACAAACCTGGCTTGACCGTCTCTCCCACTGCCCCTCCCCTGGGGGACCTCTGCTGCCCCTCTGTCCTGCCCCACACTGTGGCCACGTATGCATGCACACATCAGCTGTTTCCCTCCCCTGGGCGAGTTCYGAGCTCCATCTCCCTACTGTTCTGTGTAACTTTTCTACCATTTCCACCTAATTGCTGAGACTTGTGAGTTGTGATTTCATTACCACAATATCCTTAGGGTCTATCCCTGAGCGTGGTAAATAGTAGATGTACAAAAACAATGGGATTAATGGACCGATTTTATATATTTTTGAACAACAAGCACTGTTCTACATGTGTGTAYATGCAGTGAACAAAGTCAGAATCACTGCCTTCTGGAAGCTAGGACTCAAGGAGAGTCAAACAGAAGAGCATAGAAAGTCAAATATGTGGTCTGTTAGAAAGTGTCATGGAGGGGGAAAAAGATATCCAAAAAGGAGCAGTGTTGGGGSGTGAGGACCATAGGTGTGTGACATTCTCAGTGCTTAATCAAGGCAACAAGAGCCGAGCATGAGCCCCTCATGCCCAGAGGTCTAAAGAGAGCCAGCTAGCATTCCAGAAGCTTGGCAGTGCTTGAGGTTTGCAGGGGGGTGATATTTGTTTATCATCACAAAGGAGAGCACATGTGGCGTCCATGCTAGTATGAATGGCAAGATTGAGTTTGCCTCAACAGATCAACCTCACAGCAAAGCAAGGTAAGCAATACTTGCTGTTGTATTAAATAAACCCTCAAAACTTAGTGGGTTTAGCTGGGCACGGTCATGCACGCCTTCACTCCCAGTGGCTTGGGAGGCTGAGGCAGGAGGATGGGGAGTTCAAAGTCAGCCTCAGCAATGGCAAGGCACTAAGCATCTCAGTGAGACCCTGTCTCTAAATAAAATTCAAAATAGGGCTCAGTGGTTGAGTGCCCCTGAGTTCAATCCCTGGTACCGAAACCAAAACCTTATTGAGTAAACGCCACAGAAGTGAATTATTTCATTATCTGACGTCTCACAAAGGTGAGGGAGTGGAGCTCCTGCCACAGTCTTTCAGGGAGAAAGTCTTCTTCCATTAAATCCTCGGGGCATCCTCTGGTCTCAGAGATCCTGGCCAGAGACTGAGCATCAGGGCAGCAGACGAAGGGAGAAGGGAAGAGGCCTCTGAGAGAGCCAGATTGTCATGACCAGGCCTGGCAGTGGCCCAAGTCATCCCCGCCCTCCTTGCTGGGCTGGAGCTCAGTCTTGACGCCACCTCCCTGCCAGGGAAACAAGCAAATTCCGACTTCAGAATGCCTGTGCGTCCCCGCAGAGAAACGAACAGGACTCAWCGGAGGAAGAGCCAGCACATTCTGTTGTCATGTCCAGTTCTGTGTCCTCCCCGTTCTGCTTGACCTCTCCCGCTTCCTCCTACCCTTCTGTGCCCATTTAAAGGGCCCATGATGGCTTCTGACGAGGCAGTGACAACACCTAGCCTAGACGGAGCATAGCCATAGTCTTAGGATGATCCAAGAAGGGTCTTCCTACTCTCCCCTGCACTGAAGGACCCGTGTCTGGTTCTTGGTCTGTCACCTGCTAAGGWGTCACCCCCCAGGCCAGTCTCCTTGGAAAAGGAGAAGGTTGCTGCCTTCATTGAGCTTACATGTCACCTGAGGAAGACAGGCAGCCAGCAAGTTATGGGAAGTGATTGCACAGAATAAGAGACAGGGATGACTTTCAGGGAAAGGGGGACCAGGCAGGGTCACGATCTGCAAATACCCATATTAACCTCCGTGCCGATGGCTGATGGCTCTAGTGGTCCACAGTGGTGTAGTACTCAGTATGTGTCTGGCACTGTCCTGTCTTACTACATCAATCGAATTGATCCTCAAACAACTCAATGTTAGCAAGAGAGCATGGGGTGGCCTTGAGGAATGATCCAGCCATGAGAAAAGAGGAGAAATAAAGCTCTATTGGTTCTACTCTCAACTGTTCAGAGGACCATTTCCATCGCCTTCACTGCAGGCAGGAGACTAGAAAGGGGTGTGGAGCGGGGTGTGAGCACAGGGAAGAGGGGCTTCCAGCATAGTCCTTAAATGGGGTGCCTTTTCAAGGGTGTTCGGAGAACATGTGTGCTACTTGGATTTGTGAAGACTGCAAGTAAGAACATGTCTATTAAATATACGATGGTGACATCAGAGGTCACCCCTTGGATTAGGAGCGGTCACCAAAGGTTGGTGGGGGGTACAGTGTCCTTCGTCACCTAGAGAGAGGAGTGCCTTCCTCATGCCCACCCCCCTACCACCAGGCTGTGCTTCCAGCCAGATCTTTTTTCAAAACTATCTAAATGTGACTACTTTTTTTTTTTTTTTTTACTACTACATGCAAAAGATGCAACAAAAGTTTCTGTCTTTCCCAAGTGAAGTAATGGCCTGGGTACAGTATGAATCAAGTTACAAGCAATCAGGTTATCTGAATGTGGGACACTTGTCACAGAAACCTACATCTTTCGGCCAGACTTCTGTGTCAGCCCACAGGAATTACAGGGGTATTCTCTTATGCAGTCCCTGCATGCATTACTCTGGCTGAGTTTGGACACTGGAGAGCATAAAATGAGATCTGCCTTGTTTACTTGTAAAGAAAAGGAAAAAYTGTTACATAACGCTGCAAGAATCACACTAAGCATTTATTTGGGAACTTTCCATTAGCTATGCTTTTCTTCTGACTGTACTTCTTTGAAAGGAAGATGGAAGTGGGGGACATGGGAGTGGCTTCCTCTGTCAGCTGCTCATAGGAATGAGCACTTGAGATAAGAAAGCAGCTGCCCCACGTGGGAGCCCCTGGCATGAACCCCAGCCTGCCCTCACTTGAGGGCTTTCTCCATGCCTCTCAGGCAGCTCTGCAGGGCACGTCCAAGCCGATGTCCCACTTTGGACCATCTTCACCTCTGCTTCCTGTCACTATGTCTCCTTTAAGTGCAGACCAGAGGGCTTACTGCAGAGGTCTGTCATCCAAGAGCTGTGCCCCTGAAACTCAACCTCTCTGGGCCTTACTGTCCTCATCTGTAAGCAGGATGAATGACAGTTGATAACCTCATAAGGTTGTGGCAATGACCAAAGGCACTGGCTTCTAGGAAATGCTTCAAACAGTGCCTGGCACAGCGAGAACATCCAGTGAGTACCAGTCGCCATAGTCATCATATTGTTCTCCGAGTCCAGTCTAATGACGTGGCTGGGCTGCAGCAGTGAACTAACTAGTCAATCTCTTTCTTTCCCCAGGAGGAACAGACAGCCTCTAGACATCTCTCCACCTCTGCTTCCCCTGATGGACCCTGCTTTATCTCACAAGTCAAACCATGAAAATGAGTGACAGTGGAAAAAGACAAATGGAGGTACATGTAACAATCAAGGAAGGAACCATAGACACCTGGCTGAAGAACTCATTTTTTGTTTTTCTCCCCTGAGTGTAAGAGTGTTAGATATTCACTGTAGAAATTCGTGAAAAGAGAAACATTAAAAAAACAAACAAACAACTCCTAGTATCTCTTATTTATTATATATATCTGAGATAGCTATCTATCTATATGAATATGAACATACATAGTGTACACACAATATGATACATATAAAGGGCTGGGGTTGGGGCTCGGTGGTGGAGCACTCGCTTAGCACAAGTGAGGCCCTGGGAGTGATCCTCAGCACCACATAAAAATAAATAAATAAAATAAAGGTATTGTGCCCAACTACAACTAAAAGTAAATATTAAAAATTAAAAAAATAGATATAAAGCAAATGTAGTTATCATGCTATTAATATATGATTTTTTAGGTAACTGGTTAGAAATGCAATTTTTATGAATGTCTAATATTCTGCTGATGGGGGAGATATATATGTTGTAGATGGTCACAATACCTTTATAACCTTTATTTTATTTATTTATGTGGTGCTGAGGATTGAACCCAGTGCCTCACACATGCTATGCAAGCTCTTTACCACTGAGCCACAGCTCCAGTCCCTCCCTTGGACTTTTGATTCCTGTTCTGGGGGAATATCTATATCATACATAAGTCTTATTTTTCTTTTTACAACTGTTACAGGACAGGTAATGCATATGTGTGTGCATGTGTGTGTGTGCATGTGTGTGTGTGCCTGTTTTTACGATACCTTTTCAGCTAAGGTAAAATATGAATCATGGTTCCTTTTCTTTTTTTTTTTTTAATACAATGTAAGAATTTCCTAAATTCATCAATTCTTTGTTGCTTTTAAAGAAATGGAATGATAACTTCTGTCAACCTGTAAATATAAGAATCAGCCTGATCCATACCCTGATCCATAAGCCACTAACACTTAATGGCACAGAAGCTCCCAGGTATCATGGAGGGTCAGAGAGACAAACATATAAAAATATAGGGTGCTCAGAAAAATGCACCTGGGATCTCCTTATAGAAAAATATTTATAAATCAAGAATTACAGTGCATGTGGGGAGAAGCTCAGGGCCACATACAGGGCATTCTTTCAAGAACATTTTCCAGCACATTTGCAACCACACCTGCCAGTCCAGTCTTAGAGATTGGGTCTGCAGTTTCCACTAGGACTTCAAGGTTYCTGCCTCACCGTTTATAGTTAATTAGGGGCAAGGACTGTTTATCTGGGATGGGGGGGGGGGATATTGAATTAACAAAGGACAAAGGAAACCCAGGGTAGGACACCATTCATGAAGGTGGCCTGATTTGGGCCAAGCAGATCTCATGAGATCACGGCTACCACCCTGTCCTTGAAGGTCTTCCATATAGCTCCAGGAACTGGGAGGTAGTTTTAATCACAGACAGCCCTCATCCCTGTTGATTGTGTTTTATTTGATGATCCTTGGTTAAATAAGGACATACTCTGCAGTTTTTAGGTAATTATACATTCTCTAACTCCTCAATGAGACAGCTAAGAGATCTGTGTTACTTCCTTCACATATATAAGTAAATTTCAATAAAAATCGGGGCATGAATAATTTCTTTCCTTCACCAATAAGAAGCCACCCATATGGAAGGCCATTCGGAAGACAGGAAGTAAATTTTCTACTAGAAATTTTTTTTGAATTAACAAGGAAAAGAGGATGTTTGGTTCTTTCTCTTGAATTTGACAAAGAATCGAGGGCTTTCTCGAAAAGATTTGTCATGTAGGGTCATTTGTCACTGAAAGGTTAAAAGGCATATGAAATGTGAGTCTCTAGGAACCATCCTGCGGTGGAACCTAGGCGGTTTGCTACCCACCAGTTTTGTGGGATGCAACTTTTCGAGGTAAACAAACACAAATGCTCCTCCTCCGGGGGCGGGGGCGGTGCCTGAGCGATGCACCAATCACAGCGCGCCCTGCCCTATATAAGGCCCTGAGGCCCGGCCACTTTTCACGCTTGTAGGTGGTTGTTACCGTCCTTCTTCTTGTGCTATGTCAGAAACAGCTCCTGCAGCTCCCACTGATCCTGTTCCAGGCCCAATGGAGAAGCCGCCTGCCAAAAGGCGGGGGAAGAAGGCGGTCGGCCTGACAGGTGCAGGTCGCAAGGCTCGGAGTTCCTCGGTGTCCAAGTTGATCACTGAGGCTCTTTCTGAGTCCCAGGAGCGAGCAGGTGTGTCCTTGGCTGCGCTCAAGAAGGCCCTGACGGCCGCAGGATATGACGTTGAGAAGAATAACAGCCGCATCAAGTTGGCGCTTAAGAGTCTGGTGGGCAAGGGTGTTTTGGTGCAGACCAGGGGTACTGGTGCCTCTGGCTCCTTCAAGCTCAGCAGAAAGGCTGCTCCTGAAGCCACCAAGGCCAAGGTCAGAAAGCCTGCTTCTGCCAAGGCTAAGAAGCTGGTCCTGTCCARGGACTCGAGGTCCCCAAAGGGTGCCAAAACCAACAAGGGAACCAAAAAGCCCAGGCCTACACCTAAGAAAGCTCCGGCGAGTGGRAGGAAGACCAAAGGAGCCAAGGGCATCCAGCAGCGGAAGAGCCCTGCCAAGGCCAGAGCAGGGAAGCCCAAGACTGGGAAGCCCAAGCTGGCTCTGCAGAAAGCCAACCCTAGGAAGGCGGCTTCGAAGAAGTGAGGAGAGGAGATAAGCCCAATTGTCTACGAACCCAAAGGCTCTTTTAAGAGCCACCCACATTTTTAAAATGGCTTGACACTGGAAAAATATAAAACTAGTTAGTGCTTATATTGTACTAGCAAGGTGAGTTACACTAGTGAGGTAGTCAAAGTTGACCACATGAGATGGCAAATGTAGTTGGGGTAGAGAAGGGTGTGCTGTAGAAGAGGGTCTGCTTTGTGGAATTATCTGCTTGAATTATCAAAATGGAGAACAGGAAGAAGTCAGCAYAGAAATAAGCCTCATTTTGTTGAAAAAAAAAAAATGCTTAAGTCCACAGTTTACCCTTTTAAGGTGTATAATTCTAGTCAGTTTCCCTGGTGTCCATTGACTGAATTATTAATCATGGTGTTCAGGATTGGGGATAGGGAAGTTGAACCTTTCATTAACTTTAATGTTCCTCCTGTGTGATGGTTGAATATACTTTCTGTGTACAGTTGCAAGAATGTCAAGTAGTGTTTATGCTATGAGATGACTGATACATCAACAAACGTCATCTTTCATAATGTGTATTTTGAAACTATTGGTCTAGTAGGAATGTCATCTTAATTTTTTTTTGGGGGGGGGGCGTGGTGGTACTGGGGATTGAACTCAGGGCACTCTACCACTGAGCCATAACCCTAGCCATATTTTGTATTTTACTTAGAGGCAGGCTCTCCTTGAGTTGCTTCCTGCCTCACTATATTGGTGAGGCTAGAATTGAAATCGAAATTCTCCTGCCTCTGCCTCCAGAGCCATGAGATTACAGGTGTGTGCCACAGCACCTGGCTGATCTTAATATTTTAATATATCTTATTTATGAGAGTGCCAGAGCAGTCCACAGGCCAAGATACACTGAAATAACTATAACAGTTACCTTAAACCTTTATAGAAATATTTGTGACTGCAGTTGTTAGGGCCCAAATTAAATCTTCCTGTCCTAAAAATTGTATAAGTACACAGGGTCCAAGCTGAAGTACCTTAAATTTTTAATTTTTCCTTAATTTGATTTAGCATTCTTACATAACTATCATAAATATTAAGTCTATGCTAATGTAAACTTGTTTTCAGCTGTGGTTTCAGGAGTAACTGTACAAAACTATGCAGTGCATTCCAGTATGTTCTTCGGTGGCTCACTAGGTCCTCACCTCTCATTTATATATTTTGGCTTTTTGCAAAAATTTTGCACTAAAATGGAACATAACCTAACAGATTTCTATGTGTAGCTAATTAACCCAGTTCTTGGCTGCCTTTAAGCTGATGTTCCTCATGTTCCTATGAGGCTGGAATTGTGAGAATGGTCTAAGACCATGCTTCATTTGTCTGACCTGGCAGTGAGCCCATACAGGATGAAGGATGCCTCACCACCAAACCCCAAGTTACAATACTGGGGCTCCCTACAGGTTGCTCTTGGTGTTACCAACCTGTCTCCAGTTTTCCAAGTTTTTGTACAGGCCTTACAATATAGCCAATCATTTTTCCTGTAGTCCTGAGGCACATTACAGGGCCTCACTTTAGTCAGTAGTACAGTGCAAATGTTAATAATCCCCCCACCGTAATACTGAACTTCACGGCCCATTGAGTGTTTTGCCTGAGAAGCTGCAATTGTGCAATACATGTCAGGAAACACGAGGCTATGTGCAAACGCCTCAGACCACCCAGCCACACGAAGAGGGGTGCTTTTCTAAAGCTTCCAAGCGTATTACGTAGGAGCACCTCAGTCCTTTCGGTTTTATTTGTGCTCGTTTTAAGCCCTTAAARCATGTGCTGCCGGGTACATTGTATCTCCGTCTTGCCCCAAGATTCRTCAAGTCATTTTCCCTAAGGAGCCTTATAATCCCTTAAGGCCAGTCCAGCTCTTTACATGAACTCGTGGGCGGCCCTGAAAAGGGCCTTTAGTTGAGAAAAGCAGGTGACGGCGGCACCAGGACGCTCAGCCTCCGAAGCCGTAGAGGGTGCGGCCCTGGCGCTTGAGCGCGTAGACCACGTCCATGGCCGTGACCGTCTTGCGCTTGGCGTGCTCCGTGTAGGTGACGGCGTCGCGGATCACGTTCTCCAGGAACACCTTGAGCACGCCGCGGGTCTCCTCGTAGATGAGCCCGGAGATGCGCTTGACGCCGCCACGGCGGGCCAGGCGGCGGATGGCGGGCTTGGTGATGCCCTGGATGTTGTCGCGCAGCACCTTGCGGTGGCGCTTGGCGCCGCCCTTGCCCAGGCCTTTGCCTCCTTTGCCGCGACCWGACATGGCTGCGAACAGTGCCGCCAGACCTAACAAGCCCTTTAAATAATAYTCATGCGGACCTGATTGAAAACCACTTACGTTGGCTGGGGTTTTCCAAATTAGGTCACCAAAGGGGGTGGAGCAAAAAGAACCTCGATGTTTTGATTGGTCAGTGAAACGTAGCTTTTCATTGGGCGGCTGCGAGGAGCGGTATTGACTGCTTTGGGCTGAAAAGCTTTACTTCTGCTTTGTATTGCATTATCCTGTCTTTGCGCTTCTGCAAATTGCGATTAATCTTATTCGGTCAGTGTCACTAAGAAGGAGTCCCATCCCACATTTCCTTCTATTTTCACCTAGTAGGCATAAATTAGGTAGGGGTTCCTTGGGCGTGAGTACAGATAACGTCTAAAATAAAATGGATTCTTGTGTGGTTGGACTTTATCTCCAGTACTGCAGGTATTCCTYGTTAAACCAACACATTTTGATTGTCTGTGTGCTGGGTAAAGTTTAAGGCTGGCCATGATAAAAGTACCTAAAATCTCTTTTATGCTTGGGAATATGAAACGGTAGAAAAACAACTGCAAGTTAAATCTCCYTCCTGTTTCCTAATTTGAGTCAACATTTATTGACTTTTTATTTTWTTTTTTTGGCAAAAGTCTGAATCAGGGAACAAGAGAACAGAGCTAAGCTTGAGGGCTTGCGTAATCAGTTACCTCTCTTCCCTTTCCCGGACTGCTGAACCTGTCTGATCTCCACGAAATTCCAAACAGGCTTCCCTTACTGCCTGTATTCATCCACTTTCAACTTGCTCAGGTTTTGGAGACAAAGGAACATACGTTTTGTAGAGTTGGGGATTAATTGTAGTACTAGGCTAATACTTGATTAAGGTCATTWCAGAGCCTACAAATTCCTTCCTGGGAGTCCTTTGATAAGATTATTGGTGTTAAAATAAGGCTAATCACACTAAGAAAACAAAACCAAAACCAGACCAAAAAAAAAGAAAGAAAGAAAGAAATAGGTCTGAATAAGGTTGAAAGTCTCTTCAAACCAAGTTTCTCCTTAGCTTCCTGATGCAGATTTTGATTTTGGAAATTTTCACACACACACACAGACACACACACACACACACACACACACACACAGGGTACTGAGGATTAAACCTAGGGGTGCTTAACACCTGAGCTACACCCCCCAGACCTTTTTATCTTTTATTTTGAGACAGGGTCTAAGTTGCTTAGGGCCTTGTTAGATTGTCAAAGCTGGCTTGGAATTTATGATCCTCCGGCCTGGGCCTCTGAGCCACTGGAATTATAGGCAAGGGACAATCACTGTTGTCTGAAAAAAATAAACAGGCACACTGCCCACCTCCCCTCAGTTAACAGACTTATTGTGGATTCTTAGAATGAGACTATGACGAGATATACCAGGTGTGACAGCCTCAGACCTGCTCACATGAAAAGAGATGCACTGGGAAAAAGAGATCCAGAGCGGGCAGGAAAACTGCAAATGTCATATGGTTTGTAGCACTTCTAAAATCATCAAGTGGTTTTCTTCTGTCCCCAGATTGAAAGGTTTTAGATTCCTGACTCCCCATCACACACTTTTAGCAGATTTGCTAAGGCTGAAGGTCAAATATAGCAGAGMAAAAGTACAAGGACCCAGACCATTCACAAAACTCTGAATCTCAATGTGCTTTTTAATTCAGGAAAATAAAATTATAGTGTATAAAGTATGGTAATTTTGTGCCCTGACACACATGCCAGAAAGTGCCATCTTTGGTTAAACTGGAGTTTTATGTTGTCTTTTCCCCAAMATTATTTTGCCTATTAGATTGTTAATAAACCTCACTTGTATTTCACATTTAATTTGTTTCTTTTTTTCTATTGTCTATTTCAAATATCCTCTGTTCTAATTTTTCTMAATGACAGAGACTAAAAGGGGAAAAAAAGATGATCAAACAAATAGACAAACATATGTATGAATACACATATAAATATATATGTAGATATGTGTTAAAAATTGATTTTTCTATTCCAGGAAGAGTAGTACCTGATCATGGCTTGGGAGAAGGAAGGCTCATTCCTGAATATAAATGGTTCCCTATTCTCCTTTCCTTTTCCTCTTCCTTCTGGGTGAACCTAGAGTACCAGAACCCATTCACACAGCCTGTGAACTAGGCCCTTCAGGTAAAAACTCTGCAAACACGTCGTGGCTACTAGAACATATGAAGCACTCAAACAAAACTATAATATAAATCTTTAAAAACGCATACTGTCCAGGCTGCTGCCTCCCCCACTAACTCCATCAGAATAACCAAGTTAATGGATAACCAAGTTAATGGATAACCAAGTTAACTTTTTAAAAATAGTTCTCAACAAAAGCTGTCCAGCATTCACTACGACTTTTAGTAAATAATTATTCTTTAGTGAAAAGTAAAGAAACAGGAGGTTAGAAACACCTTGGAGCTATATCACCATGATGGAAGTGCCCAAGCACAGTCTCTGGGGGCTCAGACCTCCTGGGCTGTAAAACATTCCCATGGCGCCCCCAGGCAGRCAGTCAGCACCCCTACCCCACCCCTGGTCTGGGCAGACAGCTCTGCTGGATGCTGGCTCCCCTCACACCCATCTTGGGCTTCAGAGTGTTTCTCTTTCCTAGCTCTGGCCTTCACCCTGGCTGAGAGCACAGACTCACCTTCCCTGGCTTAGTCAGTCATCAGCATTGGCACATCTTTGGCTCAGCAGCATGCACTATGGACCTCCCAGTTTTCCTTTCTTCCCCTCTTTACTCTTCTAAGAGAACGTTCCTGCTTTTTCTCTGCAGTCCAAGTTTTCTTTTTCATGTGTACTCGTTGGGTCTGCTCTTTCGTGTGGACACTCCTGTAAACACTATTTCTGTGCTTTGAACTGCTTTTTAAAGAAGTTATTTGGACAGTTATTTTAAACATTTGCTTCAAAATTTTTATAAACTTGGTTGCAAATACATTTGATTTTCAAAATTCTCTTGAATACTTTCTTAGTCACATACACGTAAAGCCCAAAGAAAGAATTTTGTATTTGCTTTAATTGGGAACTCAAATTTAGACAAAAGAAAGACCATTGATAGTTAAATCCATATTTTAAAAAGATGTCCCTGTACAGGTGGCTAAGCTCTTTGGGCAGTCGTGAAGTTGGTTATTGACTGTTTTATCAAAGTCCAGTGCAGCAACTCAGCTTAAGGAATGGACCCAGGACATTCCATGTACCTACAGAGTAAAGTTACCTGACAAGACATGCACTGAAGTCTATACAAAGATTGGTAGTTACCTTCTAAAGAGTGTGTTGAAGATTCCAAAATTCTTTTCAGAATTTTAGGACTCAAATCCATAATTTGATTTCTCAAAAATAACAACAATACTTCCTCCACAAATCTGGTAGCTAAAACTATTTGTAGAGCTTCAGTACTACCCATTTCAATATTTCTCATGTCCATAATAGGTCTGAGTGATACAGAAAAGAAATGGAAATGACACAGAGAATAAATGGAAATGTGAATCTAATAGGTAGAAATTTTTATACTACAGAAAAAAATTCTTAAATTAAAAAAAAAAATACATACCTGAAAAAATGTTTCAAAATATTTCTGATAAAATTATAGGGCTATAGTAAATTCTGAAATGTTAAAACAAATTCCATSCTCAGGATAGAAGCATCGAAGTGTTGCTACCCAGCAGCAGATGAATGCCTGGGGTTATACCCCAAGAGGACAGGAACAGAGCCACACGTTTCTGAATGCAAAGGTAAGTGTTGTGTAGGGGTTGAGAGCTTGACTCTGAGACAGATTCACTGGATTGAAACTGCAGCACCCTATTTCTACCTGTGTAAGATTCAGAAAGTTACATAACCTCTCTGTGCCTTGGTTTCCCTAAAATCAAAATAAGGGTAACAGAACAACAGTAGTTCCTTCTTCAGGGGGTTCTTTGGAGGAATTACATTAATGTTCAGAAAAAAAGGCCGATATCTAGTAACAAGAACTAGCATAAAAATAGTTTTAGAAGGCATTCATGCCACAGAAGACTCTACTGAGGATGCAAATATGTCTGRGCAAAAAATAGGCAATAGAGAAGGATCTACTCAAGATACACCACATGGATCTTGCACTCCTTAAACTGCTGCTGAGAAACAGAATGCTGAGCATCTGTGCCATGCCGCACAGCCTTGTGGAAGCAGCCGAGCTTCATAATAAAATTGTCCTGCAAAGTGTTTTCATATTGTGTTTATATTCTACACGTTATTACATTGTTGGAGTAATTCCTGATGCAAAGGGRAGAAGAACAAATTATGACCCTAAGTCTACAATACATGCCCACATGTGAGCATCTCTAATGATTAAAGCCATGCCCATCGCTGGGACAGCCAGTATTCAGTCAGAGTGTGGTTAGAACCGAAACAGGGGGTGGAAAACAGCTTTCTTATAAAGTTTGGCAAGTTACTGAAAGAGGTTGCTTTTAAGTGTGCCAGTTTCACGGTACATAAAGCACACTCAGCACCAAAACTGAGGCCCAGCAGGCCCCCTCAGCCACTGCACTTGGCTCTGATGACCCGGTGGCTGTTCTCCTGGCCTGTCACCGACGCAGCTCACAGTGACCTGGGATTCCAGCCGCTGCAACAGCGGAAATCTGTTTTTTGTTTTTTTTTTTCCTCTAATTTTAGACGCTTTTCTCTGCCAGTGTTCCTTGCAAAGGCCCTCTTTGAACCCTTCACCTTCACCCACCCGCTAGCACCCCAGACACGTGACACGGTGACCCCGTTATCACGGCCACCAGGTGGCGCCACCCCCTAACTCACCCGCTGAATTTTTGCCAAAGGCGAAAGGTGCAGAATCTAAAATGTGGGTCTTCTATTCTTCCCCCTCCCCGACGCAAGGATCCTTTGCTCCTAAATGACTACAGGACAAATGTAACTCCATATTATATACAACAGCAAGAATGGAATCCAGTTGGAACAGGTTGTACTCCATATATGTATAATAATGAAAATACATTCTACTGTCATATCTAAAAAAAAAAAAAACAAGTTAAAAAAAAAAGACATAGGCCTTCAATTTTTTCAAATGTAGCTGGCCTTAAAAGTTGATGAACAAAGGCCAGAAAAATTAAACTGAAAGAAAATAGCRCTTTAACATTTCTATGGTAGAAAAAAATTAACAGGCCAGTCTCTGATTAATCCACATATTCTTGTGAAGATCAGGGTGTTTCTTGAAATTTTAGCCTGAGTGAGACACAACAAATACAACACAAGCCGTTGCAGAATTAATTGTAACATCCATTCAGGAGGTAGGATAAGAGATGCCCCTGGGCATTCTGTTTGGAGTTTAGTATTAGTTATTTAAAAATATGCTTAGTTTGAAGATAAAATAACCAATGTCTTATGATTAGATGGTAATGTCTTGACAGTGAATAAAAACAATCAATTCAGCAACCACAGTTTAATGAAAGTATTCCATGGGGAAAAAATATAAAAAACATTAAAAGCAACGTGAATGTCTTCTACGTGAATAGTTAATTATATGCATGATGAACAATATTAGTAAAATCATGCCGTAAACACCACAATTGTGAGCACATGTGTGTGTGTGTATTTAATTCATATACTGTAATGCGGCAGTATACATGAGTCGTCAATAGAGTTTATCACTGGCTCGTGGAACGGTAGCTTTAATTTTATTTTCAACTTTTCTACAGTGAGCTCAATTTTACTTTCTTCTATATAACTCTCATAAACAGAAGAAAAACATGAAGTTTTTTTTTTTTTTTAAAGTTGAGATTCTCTGCTCAAATTCAATGCCTACCAACAAACTTTTGAGCTGTGCTTGGTTTCTTGAGGCACCTGCCTTCCCACAGTGCCACAGCACACGTAGCCAAATGTATACATTGCAGCCAAAAGTATGAGGCAACAGAAAGTAGGCCCATGGCACCTGGATGGAGATCTATGGACACATGCAAACATGACTCTCCAACACGCTTGGATGACTCACTTTCCCAGAAATCTGCAAGTGACCAGGTTAGATTGATTTTTTAGGATGTGCATAACTGGGGATGAGAACCAGCAGCCCCTGGAGGATGCCTGRGTGTCCTCCAAGCTGCCTGACAGCTTCCATTTTCTCAGCTAACAATGAGAAATACTGCTCTAGTTTGAAGAGGGAAGTGACATCAGGATTCTGACTCCAGAGGCAATGGCTGAAGGTGGACGCAATCAAGTCCAGTACAGCCACCAACTGAACACACCAATCACAGTCCTCCTACGGGGGTTAAAGAGAGTCAGAAAGAACAGCAGAGGAGTGGGACCACACTGGGGGTCCTTCCCACATGTGGTGAAGGATCAAGCAGCCAGATGACTGAGTCTGAAAGCCATCTCTGTCCCTGGCAAGCGGCAAGGCAAGATGCTCTGTAGTTCACTTTCTTCCTCTAAAAGGCAGGGTGGGAGAATAACAGTACCTACCTCGTAGGATTAGTATAAGAACTACTCCCAGTAATGCATGTGAGTAGAGGCTCAGAACAGACTGACACCAGGCACTTTTGGAAAACAAGGGTCAGCCTCATTATCATCACTATGATCATCCTCGTCATGATTTCCTTTGTCAGAACAACAAGACAAGGTACTTTGGGTCCAGCATACCAAACAGGCATCACAAACGCAGGTGCCATTTAACTCTGAAAACCTATAGGACATCTTTGTACAAATGAGGAAAAGGTGGCCCTCCTTAATCTTCTCCCCTGCTGAAAACCGTCACACTGCACACAAACAGCCATCCCTGGCCAGGAGAGGCGCCTCCTCAGCGCTGCAGTGCACAGCCTCCACGACTGTGCCACGTCCCAGATCACACTTTGATGGAACAAAACCAGGCTGTGGTGACAGACACTGGATAATAGAGAGGATTTAGAGAGAGCCAAGTGGGTCCTGGATGTGAGAATCTGTGTGCAAAATTCTGACAGGAGTACAAATATGCACACCCTGGGGTGAAGGGCCATGGCTTTTCTCTGATGTTAAAAGGAACCACGAGTCCCTAAAATGTAAGGAGCCCTCTTCCACATACAGGAGATGAGATGACATAGGTGTGTGGGGTCCGAGGCGAGAGAGGAGAGGAAGGAAGTGTCCACAGTCAGCCTGAGATTCATGAGAACCAGCTCTGGGGGACAGGTCACAGCCTGGGTTGCTGTCATGCAGGAACCCAGCCCCAGGTGGAGGAGACTTCCTGGGAAGTGAGCAGGGAAGACCGGAGCAGAGTTCTGCAGCACTTTCTGTGTGGAAGGCCCGATTCTRTCCCCAAACACTGAGGAGTCCACAAGTGCGCCTGTCTGAGTCTGGCTGTGTTTCCTTCCTCCCTGCAGGAGGTCAGCAGGCTGYACCTCACTGGCGATCCGCTAAGACATAGTCCCTGGCGACGCCTCCTGTGAAGACAAGAGGCCCAGGGGCAGGCAACACAGACCAGGCCGCATGGCGCCTCTTCCTGTCCCTCCCTTCCCCGTTCACCCAGGGCATCCCTGACCACTTGTACCAGGGCTCTGGATTTCAGGCACCATCAGGGCTGGTCTGGAACTGTCTGTTGGCTTTCTACCTGGTCTCCTCCCCCCTCCCACCAAACCATTCACCACAAGGAAAGCCAGGTCCTCCCTGCTGTGTCCCCTCCCTGATGCCCAGTGCTCAGGACTCTGCGGGGCTCAGGACTCTGCCTTCCCCCCACAACAGAAGTCCAGAGGGTCAAACTGGTGACATTCAGGAATGCAAAGCCAGGGGCAAGGCACAGTGACCACTGCTCTCCTGCCCACTTGGTCCTCCTTGAGTGGTCGCTCAGCGGTGTGGACCCTGTGGTCCTCGGCCTCATCTAGAGATCCCCCTTCGTCAAGGTTCAGAGCCATTCTTGACCCTGGTGGACAGGACCCATCCTTCCTTGGACACCCTGAAGCCTTCGTGTCACACCTGCGGGGCCTCAGGGGTCCCCTCAGTGGTACTCACTTACCATGGATTTCATCCCCTACAGGACTTGGGTAGTGGCTTCCTTAGCCTCAAAGCCCCTGCTGTGACTTAAACTTGTAAAACAGCACCTGCTCAGAGGGTGTCTGCTGAGCCCAGAACTTCATCAGTTCCCTTCCTGCTGCCCAAGGACGGGACTCCCCTGCCCGCTTCCTTCAGGACTAGGACACCCTGGGAGGAGGCCCAGTGCCTCCTCCTCTCCTACTCACTGGAGGCGTGCTTCTTCCTTAGAGTTCGGAGTAGAACTCCAGTCAAGACGACGAGGATGCCAACCATGGTGCCACCGACSACCCCAGTCACCAGGGTGCTGGGCGACGAGGGCGCTGGAACAGCAGAGCAGGTTCAAGCCCACGACTAGCACCCTGACCCCAGCAGGCCCCGCCCTCGATGCCACCCAGACCACCCCTGCCCGCAYAGCAGATGTCCTCGGCCCAGAGGGCACCTACCCCAGGTGGCCATGAGGGGCTGGTCCAGGCCTGGGTGCCCCACCTGGCAGGTGTGCCTCTGCTCCTCCCCAGGGGGCACAGCCAAGGCCAGCCAGCCCTGGTAGGTGCCGTCCCCACTGGGCAGCACGTCCTGAGGCTCAACCTCCTTGGCATCCAGTGGCTGGCTGTCCTTCAACCACCTCATGCTGATGTTCTGGGGRTAGAAGTTCAGAGCCCGACACCGCAGAGTGGTCACTGCAGAGGTCACGTGACGCGTCACCTTCACCCAYGGAGGCACTTGACAAGGAAGAGGAAGAGTGAGGACAGGGGGACTTTCATCCTGCCAGCAAGACTGGGTTTCACTTCCCTCCAGAGGTTGGAGGGACGCACCCTTCAGAGAGAGCAAACTGCAGCGGGGACATCTTTGTTCTAAGATGGTTTCCATGATCTACGTCTGAGGCAGTGAGACTTGCAGATTAGGCACATTGATATAAGCCTGACCCCCGCCCACTATGAAAATACGAATAACTGTTACCCATGTCCTCTGTTCTGACAGGTGAAGTCTCCCTTTACCCGGATCAAAAATGACTGAAGACAGATTATCCATTCTTCCGGATCGACCCTGCGTTCATTCTCGTAAGAAAGGGCCTTGTAAGGCAGGCAGGCTGCAGCAGTTACTGCCATGTTTTATAAAAGTCACTTTAATCTCCAAGAGACTCTGCTGCCCCGATACATCACCCCACTTGGTATTTTCCTGCCCAGGAATTCATGGTACCTCAGACACTTGCTCTTAAGTCATGTGCATAAAAAAGCAACTGAAACCATTGGCTGGAGGTCGCGTGGTCTATCTCAATTATAAGGTGAAGGCCCTAGGACTGGGAAGATCCTTTCCAGAACATGGAGAGAGATGCACAACTTCAACCGCTTCAAAATCTCACGAGGGATCCCCTGCCTTGTGTCCCCCTCCTGCCATCTCCAGAGCATGGGGCACGTGGGTACATACCTTGCTGGTCCAGAATGCCTCTCCCCAGCTCCAGGAGCTGYCGCAGCTGCTGGGGGCAGTCCCTCTGAAGGTAGACCTTGTTCTGCTTGGCCCGAATCTGGTGCACTTCCCACTCCAGCTTGGTGGGCCAGGCCTGGGGCTCTGCTGCCCTCCAATCCAGTGTGTCCGGGCAGAACTCCAGGTGGTCCTGCCCATCGTATCCGTACCTCCAGAACCCCCTGGTGCTGTTGTCTGCTTGCACCTCGCAGCCAAGCATCACCTGCAGGGTGTGAGACTCTGGCAAAACCCCAGCCTTGTTACCAACACCAAAGGAGTAGGTTCCTGCCCCGACATCCCCAAGGGCCCAAGGACATCCCCAAGKGAGAAAACTCCCTTCCTCTCCCTTGCCTTCTAGCTCCTTCCATCAGATGCACCCCTGAGGTGGCACAGGACTCTGGCCCCTCCACGTACCCTTGCTGTGGTTGTGGTTGTCCATGATGGTCCAGAAGTCCACCGTGAACATGTGGTCCCAGCCTTTCAGGCTCTGACTCAGCTGCAGCCACAGTTGGCTTGAGGTCCTGCCCTGGACCCAAGGGGCTCTGGCTTCGGCTCTGCGACTCTCATGATTGTAGGACACAAACAACTGGTCATCCACGTAGCCCAAAGCCTCAAACAAGGGCAGCCCGAGGTCCAGCTCTGAAGCGCCCATGAAGAGGTAGCGCAGAGAGTGGGACCCTGCAGACAGAGCCAAGGCCATCAGCAGGGGGCAGGGGGAAAAGGGAGCAGAGCATCATCTACCACCAGTGGCTTCTGCTGCCGACCCTGAGGAGAGAGACACAGCCGCCTTCCCTGGGCTTGAAGCCCTGGCTGCCCTCTCTTGTTGCTGCTCCCTGTGCTGCACAAGGCTGCCCACCACGCTGCCCCCACCCCACTCCCACACCTGGGCCACTTCTCCAGGAGCCAGGACCCTGGGGAAGCCCCAAGGCATCTCCAGCCCTGGTGGTTGAGCTTAGGATGGTTGTTCACAGCTCTCTAGAACCAAGTCCCCAAGAACTTGCTCCCACTGGAGCTTTTCTTCCAGCATAGCTGCTTGATTCGAATCTCAAATTCACGTCCAAAACCAGGCTCTGGATTTCCCSCACAAACTGCCTTCGCCATCTCATGAACAGCCTCACCAATCACTGCATTTCTCGTCCAATTAAATTAACATAGARTAACATAATTAAAAAGAGTCACTTTTGAATTGGCTCTTTCATGCCATGCATAGGTCCTTCAATGACTTCCTTCAAAATACACTCAGAATATCAACGTCCCCTCACCCCCCCTCAGCACTCCATCATTTCTGGCCTCCAGGAGGTRTGGCTTCCTGGCTGGTCTCCCTTAAAAACCTGCCTCCGCGTCATCTGCTGGAGTCCACACGCCAGTCTGGGGGTGCTGCATAGTCCTGTCCTCCTTTTTCTTCCTTCAGCCCAGTGGTTCTTAGTGAGGAGATTTTGTCTTTCAGGAACATTTGGCAATATCTGGATATATTTAGTGGTCACTATGGGGAGGAGGGTGTWGCTCCTAGTAGCATACACTGAACAGAAAACAGCAAGGCTGCTCATGTCCTACCGTGCCCAGGACAGTTCCCTCCAACAACAAACGCTGAGTGTGTTGAGAAAGCCTGCTCCAACCAGCTTGCCAGGCCCACTCAGTTCCCTGGTTTCCTGGGAAACTCTGTTCCCAATCAGTCCCAKTGTCCACCTTACTTTTTTCAGATCTCTGTTCAAATGTCAGAGTGACAGAGAGGCTGGCCCTGACCTCCCTGCTTCACCTCTTCACAGAACCCAGYGGCTACCCCATGTTGTGTATTTTTCTGCTCATTTGTCTATTATGAAAAATATCAGAGGGCAAAGACTGGGCTCTGGGGCTGGGGATGTAGCTCAGCAGCACAGCGTTTGCCTAGCAAACGCAAGGCCCTGGTTCCATCCCCAGGGACCCAGGGAAAACAAAAACAAAAGACAACTTTGTGTTGCTCTCCCCTTGGGCCTAGAACAGTACAACACACCATTGAGATTCTTTCTATGCTTCTGAACAACGAATATTTCTGTTCAACGTCGGAATCTGCGAGTCATCCTACAATAATGGTAAAAAGTCAAAGGGATGAAGTGGAGACATGGCTTTGCCACCAAAGCCTGGKGTAACTTTGAACAAAGTCACCTGTAAGGGCCCATGCCTCACTCCTGTGTCTGTGAAATGTGGACACAATGCACACAGTACCTCCCACTATGTGCTAAGGTAGGTAACTGTCCTGCACTGAGTGCCCAGTTAGGTAACTAGAGAGTCAACAGGAGCTAAGAGTGGGGCCACTCTTAGCACCGAATTTAACATCAGAAAACGAAATTGCTGACATTCTTTGAAACCAGAAAAGAGTCATTTAACCTGAGGCCAGCTGTCTACGGAACCGATTAATACTTCCTATTTCCCAAGGCACAATGGCAGTCAAAATCACAGATCTGATGTGGCTTAAAACTGAGTCCACTGCTAAAATGTCATCCTTTGCTTTGGCGTCCTTTTGAAAAGCTCCGGTATTATACYCTATCAGAGCTTAGCTGAAGGCGATGCTCTTCCGCCGGGTTGGGCTCAATCCTTAACTCCTTAAAGTACCTGGTATTTCCAACAGGAGGACCAGCGCCAGGGACCCGGGAGGACCCGAGACAGGACGCTCAGGGGGCTCCCGGGGCGGGGCCGCCACCCGCTCACAGCGACAGCGGAGAGTGGAGTCCCGCCCGCGCCCCGGGGTCCCTCCGCGGGTGGCTGCCAATCTGCGCCGCGCCCGGGCGCGGAAACGCCGAGCAGCGCCCTGGCCAAGGTCCCGAGGCAATGACGCAGGAACGGGGACAGCCAGCGTTAGGGACGACAGAACCGAGGCGAGCCGCGGGCCCCAGGCCGCGGGCGGCCCAAGCGGGGAACTACGAGCTTCAATCCGAAGCGTCCCGTCGGGGAGGAAGCGAGCGAGAAGTTCCAAAGGCCACCAGAGCAGGGACGCGGGGCCCGGGGAGGGGGACGCGCGCTGGGTCCAGGGACCCCGCCTGCACCTCGGGGGCGGGCGCTCCCTCCCGGGGTGTGGGCGGGAGACTGCGCGGGCCGGACCGGGTGGCGGACCGGGTGGCGGACCGGGTGGCRGACCGGGTGGCRGACCGGGTGGCGGTCAGCAAACTCCCAGGAGCCGAGCAAAGCCCGTCGGGCAGCCCCTCCCTCCCGCGCTGCGGCCGCAGCCCCGCACTCACGCGGCGGTCGCCCCTGCGGGACCACGGTGCGCACCAGCAGCAGCAGCAGCAGGAGCGGCAGCGCGCGCCGCGCTCGAGGGCCCATGTCCCCTGGCCGCGCCTGGGACTCCGCCTCTGCGCTGGCAGGGAAGCAATGACTCCAGAAGTCACACCGGGCCATCGCCAAGGCCTGAGGTGCCCGAGGAGCTTCCTGGAGAGACCCCTTCCAGGTCACAGGGAAAAGGACGCTTGGTCCCAGGGCCTGGGCTTTTCCCCTTGCAGGCAAGGGCACCTGCTTGTGCCCACTGGGTGAATCCTCACATCCTGAGCGGGTGTTGCTGACCAGGAAGTTTATATCATCATGTTCCCATCTAARTGCTCAATATTTAAATGTTAATTAATTCAAAACTTTGATGATGAATTTTCAAAACTTTTATCTCAAATTTAGTTTAATTTAATCTTGTTATCTGATTTATAACCAATCTATGTTTTTTTCAGCGAAAACTTCATTTTGTTTTTTGATTAGCAAATTACATTCCACGGAAATACCTTTACCAAATTTACAAATTATCTGAGGAGTGTGTTACAAATGTTCTAACACATTGATGGGAGCTACTTGGAAAATCATTAAACATATTTACACCCTGCTCCCACCTCCAGATACTCCGATTTAATTGATATGTGCGAGCTAGGATTTTTAAAGCTTCCCTCAACCTTCCCAATGAAGTTGAAGAATTATGCTTAAAATATTTCTAAGCATGCTGAAAATTTTGCATTTGAAGAAAATTAAAATTGGAAATCATAGTCTCTAAATTGTAGGCACATAAATAAAACAGGATTCAGAAAATTATATGTACACTGGGGTTGTTTTTCCTATTTTTTGTGACAGCTTAATTGAGATAGAATTCATATACCACAAATTCATCTATTTAAGATGTAAGTCAGTGGGTTTTAGTGTACAACCATCACCACAATCAATTTTAGAACATTTTCCACCTCCTCCAAAAGAAACTATTCTATAGTCATAATCTTCCAAGTCCCTCCTTTCTCCCTCCCTCACCAACAGCCCTGGACAATCACTAATGTATTTTCTTTCTGTACAGAACATTTCACACACAGAGAATCATACAACATACAGTTTTTGTTTCTGTTGTGTGTATGTGCCCCTGAGTGTATGTGCCCCTGTGTGAATGTGCCCCTGAGTGTGTATGTGCCCCTGTGTGACTGCTTCCATTTAAAATAATGTTTTCATATTTTATGGTAAGCGTACCACACTTACCACTCCCACATTTTATTTTTCCATTCATCAGCTGTGAAAGAAACCTAAACCAGCGTCTGTAGGCAAACATGAGTCCATTCATGAGAGTGGAGACCCTGTTATCTAATAACCTCACAAGGCTCACCTCCTGGTATTGCTGCACTAAATGTTGAAGCCATGAGTCTTGGTGGGCACAAACCTCCTCCAAACCATTGCAAAGACTTCTACCAGCAGACTCCCTACCGGCTTCTCAGGCTTCAGATGGGACTCCAGCACACCTGGCTTTCCTGGTTCTCTACCTCTGATTGACAGATAGAGTGGGTGGGAGTACAACTGCATTCTTCTTGGGGGTGGGGAGAGTAGGGGGAGTCTATTGTCCTGCCACCCTTGTTGAGAAGATGGTTTTTTCTTCATSTAATTATTTTGGCATCCTTGTCAAAAACCAGTGGACTTTACTGTAATCCCAGTCACTGGGGAGGCTGAGGCAAGAGGATTACAAATTCAAAGMCAGTCTCAGCAACTTAGTAAGACCTCTCTTAAAATAAAAATTGTAAAAAGGGCTGGGGATGTGGCTCAGTGGTAAAGTACCCCTAGGTTCAATCCCCAGAAAAAAAAAAAAAAAAAAAAAAAAAAAAAAAAAAAAAGAGAGAGAACAAGATCAACTGACTGTAAATGTGAGGATTTACTTCTGGAACATCAAATTTTATTCCTGTGATCTATATGCCTATGTTTATGTCAAGACTACACTGTCCAGATTATTGTACCTTTAAACTAAGTTGAAATCCAAAAGTGTGATCTTTCTAAATTTGTTCTTTTTCAAGATTGTTTTAGCTATTTAGGGTCTGTTGAATTCCACATGAATCTTAGGATCTGCTTGTCACTGTCTATGTTTTTTTTTTTTTTAAGAGAGAGTGAGAGTGAGAGAGAGAGAGAGAGAGAGAGAGAATTTTTAATATTTATTTTTTAGTTCTCGGCGGACACAACATCTTTGTTGGTATGTGGTGCTGAGGATCGAACCCGGGCCGCACGCATGCCAGGCGAGCGCGCTACCGCTGAGCCACATCTCCAGCCCACTGTCTATGTTTTGTGTATATTTCAAGACTATAAGAAATAAATGCATTTCTCCCTCCCCCTTTCTCCTTCTCCTCTCTCCTCCTTTCTCTTCCTCCTTATCCTCCTCCCTCTTGATCTCTCTCTCCCCCTCCCTCTTCTTCTTCCTCTTCTTCTCTGACAATGGAAAATAGAACTAAAACACTGGCCAATGCCAACATTGAACTTTCAGGAAGGGAATTCAAAAGTTACCATATAAACAAAAAAGGAGCTATCAGTCGTGCTCTGGAAGCCATGGAATGCTTACTAGTGCCAAAAGATGCAGAGAAATAAGATCCCATCTAATCAGAAGTCCCCAGCTCTGTGTGTGTGTGTGTGTGTGTGTGTGTGTAATATATCTTTATATATATCCATATATATCCATATATATGATTATAGACGAGGCTTTATTAGAGTGGCTCACATGAGCAGAGACGGGACAGTCCCACAATAGCCTTCTGCAGGCTGGACAGCTGGAAGAACCAGGAGCTGCTCAGTCCAAGAATCTGGAGCCTCAAAACCAGAGGGACCAATAAGGTAGGCCCAGTCCAAGGCTGAAGGCCTGGAAAATCACTGGTCAGAGTCCACTTTGGAAGAGTGAAGGAGCTGGAGTCCAAAGTCATCAGGTGATCACAACAGCAACTGAAGCACCAGTTCAAGAATTGGGCTTGCCTCTGCCTTGATGTCCTTCTTCCACCATTTGTCCCATTCAGACCTCCAGCCTGTGGGACTGTGCTGCCCACATTCAGGGCAGGTTCCTCCCCAACCTTGCCAATCATCTCCGGAAACACCCTCACTAACATACCCAGAAGCCTCTTAACCTTAGGCATCGCTGTCTATCAAGTTGACAATCCAGATTCACCATCACACTAGACACTCCCTTTCTTTTCATAGAAATTTGGAGCCTTTCATACAGTGCTGCTTTCTCTGGCCGCTCTCAGTGTCAACTCTCGGAACTCACCAGTGGAACTCCTTTAAACAGCTTACAAAGGAAATGTCAGCATGTTACAGTGTTCCTTCCATCCCTCAAACTGCACAAAAGCACACCAGTTTTCTCAATCATCAAATGGCCTTTGCAGATGTTGTTTTTCACAAAGGACTCTTGCACCATGGCTCAACTCAGCAACTCTCATTATATCCTACAGCAATACTTTCCTAAAGGGTCTGAATTTTTTTTTTAATTTTTTATTTGTTCTTTTTAGTTACACATGACAGTAGAATGCATTCTGAGATATCATAACTTCTCATGGAGTATAACTTCCCATTCTTATGGTCCATGGTGTGGAGTTACATTGGTTGTGTATTCATATATGAACATAGAAAAGTGATGTTTGATTCATTCTACTTTCCTTTTCCCACCTCCTCTCCCTTCCTTCTATTCCCCTTTGTCTAATTCAGTGAAATGCTATCCCCCCAATCCCTGCTTATTGTGAGTCAGCACCCACACATCAGAGAGAACATCCGGCCTTCAGTTTTTTGGGGTTAGCTTATTTTACTTAGCATTATGGTCTCTAGTTCCATCCATTTACTGGTAAATACCATGATTTCATTCTTCTCTATGGCTGAGTAACATGCCACTGTGTATATGTATCACTTTTTCTTTATCCTTTTATCTGCTGAAGGGCACCTAAGCTGGTGCCATAGTTCAGCTATTGTGAATTGAGCTACTATCAACAATGATGTGGCTGTGTTACTATAGTATGCTCCAGTACTTTGGGTTTATGCCAAGGAGAGGAATAACTGAGTCAAATGGTAGTTCCATTCCAAGTTTTCTGAGGAATCTCCAAGCTGCTTTCTGGAGTGGCTGCACCAATTTTCAATCCCATCAGCAGTGTATGAGTGTGCCTTTTTCCCCACACCCTCGCCAACACTTATTGTTAAGGGATCTGCATTCTGGCTGTCTGAGTTAATGACTTGTTTCCCTGGTAATACTGTAATAGCTATCTGTCTAAGTAGTGTAAATATTTGTGTATTATGTTGGTGTTAAGTCCTTGGGGCATCTTTGGCCTAATCTTTTTTTCCTACCCTATGGGGGGGGGATACAGCTCATGTTCAACACTTGTTTAAACAGCATATTTAAATTCCTACTTCAAGTAAATTAATAGGTGTGTGTAAAGTTATGCTATAAACAATAGTAATGATCATATACCATGTATCCTGTGGGGGAAAAATAGGTTCTTCAATTATGTGTTGAAATTCTGTGAGAAATAATTACCAGGGATCACGAAGTAACCAGTGACTTGTTAGTCAGCTTTTTATTGCTGTGATCAAAATACATGATAAGAACAACTTAGAGGAGAAACAGTTTTTGGGGAGCTGATGATTTCAGAGGTTCAGTCCATTGTTCTGGGCATGAGGTGAGGCAGAACGTCATGGTAGAAGGGTGTGGTGGAGGAAAGCTGTCAGCTCATGGGAGCAGGGAAGCAGAGAGGGAGCATGAGGAGGGCCCTGCTCCTCAAGATATAATCAATCCCCAATCACATGCCCTGAGTGACCTACTTCCTCCTACCATGACCAACCTGCCTACAGTTACCACCTAGTAGTCCATTCAAAGATTCAAGTCATCAAATGGATTAATCCACTCATGCAGTTACAGCTCTCTTATTCCAATCTTTTCATCTCTGACCATTGCTATGTTATGGGTCATGTTTCCAGCAAATGAGTTTTTTGGGGGACACTTCATATCTAAATCATAACAGGACAAATAATAACAAAGGAGGTATACCCTCTGCATTTGCTACCCTCTCCCCACCTGCTATGACAAGAAGTGGGAAGATTGGCAACCTTCATGGAGAATG